CTCCTCCACTGGCGCATCTCTAGAGGTTGGCTAGGAACAAGTCTTTGCTTAGAGTGGAAACAAACAAGCAAGCAATTGATCCTACTCTGTTGCTTGCCTAAGTATTTTCTTCGGGTTACCGTTGCTCAACAACGGACGTGTACTTTTCGCTACTTCGGCTTGATTCCCCGCCCTTGAATGCGCAGGTTCCCGCCTGCTGCTATATAACACTACACACTACTGTACTTTGTCTTGCTTTTACATTGTTACTTCCAATCTTCTATTCTGCAATTAAAAGCATGACAAGAGCCTGTACGGCCTGAAGCAGTCGCCGCTGCTGTGGTACTTGGCGCTCAACGACGTGCTGGTCGGCGCCGGGTGGAAGAAGAGCCAGGTCGACGAGGCTTTGTACTTCAAGGTCGGCGACAACGGAGTGGCCTGCTGGGTGCTGGTCTACGTTGACGACTTGCTCGCCGCCAGCAGCAGCACCGAGATGCTGAAGGAGTTGAAGGAGCTACTGGCGTCCGCCTTCGAGCTGCGTGAGATCTCGCCGGTACAGAAGTACCTCGGGCTGGAGAACGTCCACAACAGGTCGGCGGGGAAGCTGTGGCTGCACCAGCAGGGCTACGCCGACAAGCTGCGTAGGCGTTTCATCGACGAGGAGCAGACCGGGCGCACCCCGAAGACGCCGGTCTCGGTCGACGCCTACGCCGAGCTCACCTTCGACGACGAGGAGGCACAGGAGCGACAGGAGGAGGAGTACCGGCAGAAGGTCGGCTCGCTGCAGTTCGCGGCGACGACGACGAGGCCGGACATCGCCTTCGCCTGCAGCAAGCTGGGGAGCGGCCTCACGGTGAGGAGCGACCAGCACTGGCGCGAGGTCGACCGCTGCCTCGCCTACCTCGCCAACACGCGTGACACCGCCCTGGAGTTCGGCGGTGAACCTGAGTCGCTGGAGCTGATCGGCTACGTGGACGCCGACGACGCCGGTGACAAGCAGAACAGGACGAGCACGGGCGGTTACGTGTTCGTCTACGGAGGGGCCGCAGTCTCCTGGTCGAGCCAGCGCATTAAGTGCGCGACGTTGTCGTCGACCGAGTCGGAGTATGTGGCGGCCACAGAAGCCGGGAAGGAGGGACGTCGACTTCGCTTCCTTCTCGCAGAGTTCCAGCAGCTGGATGCTGGGAAGCCGACCGTCCTTCGGGTGGACAACAAGTCGGCCATCACAGTCGCCGAGGGCATGGGGTTGACGGGCAACCTCAAGCACATGGAGCGGCGACAGGCCTGGCTGCAGCACATGGTGAAGCGCGGGAAGTTTTCGCTGAAGTACATCCCGACCGCTGAGCAGCCGGCTGACTTCCTGACGAAGGCGCTGCACTATCCGGCCTTCAACCGGTGCTCCGTCGCCATCGGCTAGGTGCGCTTGGCCGACGTGGGCGACGAAGTTGACGAAGTGCAGCAGTAGGTGCCATGCCCTCTTGCATGGCTGGTGCGGTGGACGACGTGCTGTGTGTTGGGTGCACGTCGACGAGCTATTCTCCGAGGAGTACTGCCGTGTGGGCTGGAGGCCCAAGCGTGAACGCGGCAGGGGAGTGTCAACGGGAGTTGTGTGTTGGCCCCGTCCTCGCTTGGGCGGAGCCGACTTCGTGGTCGGGTGTGAGGGGAGCAGCCGACCTACAGCAGTGGGCGAGCTAGTTGACGAGGAGGTCGACCTGCACGGGGGCCACTGCACGGGTCGACTTGAGGGTGGCGCCGACTTCAGGGAGGTCGACCTGGGAAGTCGACCTGCGGAGGGCGTCAACTTGGTGACGCCAACTTGGGGCAGCCGACTTGGGTGGTCGGCTGACAGGCCTGCTGGTCGACTTGGTGGTAGATCGACCAGGCGTGATGTCGACCTGGTGGTTGACCTGACCTGGTGGTCGACGGCGGAGGGGCCGACGTCGACCTCGACTCAGGACGTCGAGTAGCAGGGCGTCAACTTGGTGACGCCGACTTCGGGTAGCCGACTTGGGTTGTCAGCTGACAACTGCGCTGGTCGACGTGGTGCAGGTCGACCAGGAGTGCAGGTCGACCAGGAGTGCTGGTCAACGTGGAGCTGGTCGACCAGGAGTGACGTCGACCTGGAGGTGGTCGACCAAGGGTGTGGTCGACCTGGTGAGGCCGACCGGAGGTGGCCGTCGACTTGGGAGGTCGACGGGCACGTACGGGAACAGCTGGTCGACGTGGTTGCCCGGTCGACCAGGTTACCTGGGTGACGAGGTTCTGCGGAGGAATGCGACGGTCGCCCAGGCGAAGTTGGCGAGGCCGACCTCGGTGGTGGTATCCCGAGGTCGACATGGTGGATCAGGTGGAGTCGTCAGCACGAGGATGACTTGGTGTGTGCGCTGTGCAGGTGACGAGGCTCAGCCTGCCAATCATCTGCGAGCACCTGCGAAGTTGGTGCGCTGCTGTCCTGTGGGATCAACGCTGGCACGCCGTCAACCTGCGACGTTGGCACGCCGTCGACTGTGCACTGCTGGAGCGCGGTCGACCAAGTCGTGCTGGAACGCGGTCGACCGACCTGAATGCTAGCTCTGATGTAGTCCTGTCATGCCAGCTTCATTGTACCGTTGTTGTCAACTTTCTCTAGTGAAACTCTTGCCAATTTGCCCCGTGAATTAGAAAGCAGTGTGTGCACTAGGAAAACGACTAAGGACCAACGAACGCAGAGATCACACGAGCACCCGTGCCTAGCCCGTAGCCTAGCTCCCGTTGTAGTAGTTATCTCCGCAGAAGTCTTCTACGACTTCGCCGACACTGGTTACGTTACACCCGCCCGAGTCAACACCAATGAAGCCGAACGCATAGGACCCAACTTCTTACCTGATCCCGAAGCAGGTGACGAAGCAGCTTATCCCGAGGACACAACACTCCCCCGCTACACACAGAGCGGGCTCCAGATACTCGGCCTCGTCATCGCGGTCCACGGCACGGAGATTCCTAAGGAGCCTGCCACAGTTCAGCAGGCTCTGGGGGGGGAGCATAGGGAAAAATGGCGCGAAGCCATGGACAAGGAGCTGAAAGCGCTGGAAGAACGGAACACCTGGAAAGTCGTTCCCATCGGCGTGGCACGCAACAAAACGGTACTCACCGGAAAATGGGTTTTCCGTGTGAAGACAAAGGCAGACGGCACCATCGACAAGTTTAAAGCACGCTGGGTCGTGCGCGGTTTCGACCAAGAGCACAGACGCGATTTCACCAAGACGTTCGCCCCGGTCAGCCGACACACCTCGCTTCGAATTCTCCTCGCGATAGCCGCCATGAAGAAGAAAAAGCTGCGGCAAATCGACGTCGCTAATGCATTCCTCTACGCACCCGTTGACGCCGAAATCTTCGTCGAACTTCCACACGGCTCCAACGGAGAACCCAACCAAGTCTGTCAGCTGCTGAAGTCCCTGTACGGCATCAAACAGGCTCCGAGACTATGGCAACAATACCTACAGGCTAGACTCATCCGCATCGGTTTCCGCCAACTACCGCACGACCAGGGCATGTATCGGCCCACGAAAGGCGACGACTATATCTTACTGATCGTCTATGTGGACGACCTGCTCTACATCGGCTCGACTGACGGCGTCACTACCTGGTTCGAAGGGGAGCGGCAACAAGATCTCACGCTCACGATCTCGTCCACCGTCACGCAGTATCTCGGCCTCAACATTCAAGAAGAAGAAGACGCGATCTATCTCAACACCGCGAAATACGCCGACACCATCGCCAAACGCTTCGGACTCTCCCCGACCACCATCTCCACGCCATACCGCTACACCACCGGAAATCACAAGGAAAGCTCCGCTCTACTCAAACTCGCTGGCATACGCGACTACCAACGAAAACTAGGATGTCTGCTCTTCGCAGCCGTCACTTGCCGACCGGACCTCTCTTACTCCGCAAGCCAACTCGCTACCTACCTCAAGAAACCTGAAGCAGAGCACATGGCGGAGCTCGACCGCGCACTACACTACCTCGTCAGCACCCCGACGATCGGACTAACTTACTACAAGACCGGAACTACGGCGCCTAAGCTAATCGGCTTCGTCGACGCAGATCACGCTGGCGACTCAGACAACAGGCGCTCGCGCACCGGATATATCTACCGACTCGAGCCTATCGGGCCCATCTCATGGCAGTCGAGCAAGCAGGAACTAATTGCTCTCTCCTCAGCTGAAGCAGAATATATTGCACTCTGCTCAGCCACCAAGGAAGGACTTTACCTTCGCGAACTGCTGGAAGAGGCGAAACTGGCCCAGTTACCCAGCTTCTCTCTATTCTGCGACAACCAGTCTGCAATTCGTATCGCGAACAAAAACGGATTCGCGAACAGGACGAAGCACATCGCCCTGCGATATTTCTTCGTGAAGGACGAGATCGAGAAGGGCAGACTCGAACTGTCTTACTGCCCCACGTCTGAGATGGCAGCTGATTACTTGACCAAGAAGCTCGGAAAGCAGAAGTTCGAGTACTGCATGCTGCTGACTGGACAAGGCCACGTCACCAGCAACAACACTCCAGAAGCGAAGGGGAGTGTTGGAAACAAGTGATTTAAGCGCCTCTGTCGTGCCGAAGCACTAAGTCATAAACGAAGCAAAATACAGTGAAGCATCGGCGAGTCAACACTAGGAGGTTGAGAAGTGAAGAAACCGCTGGAGGTTACGCGAAAGTCAAAGGTCAGCGACCTTTGACCTGACAAGTACAGTGCGACAGCAAGGACAAACAACTGACTCGTTATTGAGCAGTTGCCCGAGTCGTCACTGTATCGAACCGCAACAGCAACAGTAAAACAGTTATTAACTGTGTCTCTTCATATTCCTTGTACTTTTATAAAACCTTGTTTCTTCTTGTTTCAGTTAATCTACTTTGCCCTCACATACCAGCGCAAGGTGGTTCACAGACTCATCATTAAACGCTTCCGCTATTACATTGTTCCTACTCAGAGTTTAGTCCTGCAAAGATCCTAAGGGCTTTTCTCAGCCCAACACGCTTCACCCACTTTTGGTATATTTTTCCAGCTGCCCACGCGCTGCACCGTCAGGATGCGCCTCCGTGTGAATGTTCCCATAGAACCCACTCGGATTCTTCCGAATCGCTTCGAGAGTCGACACAAACGACGGTGTCCGTTGCGCCATTGACTTCCCAAGAAAGCCGTGGCAAACCCACACGCCCCTTTCCACTCTGATTTGGTATTTGCACGGCAGATCCAACACAATGGGACCATTGGATCCCTCTGTTCCGTTGTGCACAAGGGTCATGGTCGGGGGCACGGTATCGTCCTGCAAGACATAAGCCTTTACTTTGTACTCGAGCCACGCTGCCTGGCCTTTTTTCCTGCATATCACCCACCCACCAGAGAAATGGGGGTCAATCTCGATAGATGTTAGGCAAGGGGGTTCAGTGTGCATCACATGACAGAGTTGAGCTTTCATCTATACAAGCAGACATTTGGTATCATCAGAGCACCCATTCTGTGAGAGCAGCGGGGGATTTAGGCCTGACAAACTCACGTGTAGATGTTCAATTTCATTATCGCCAATCCGTCTGGTTCGCCGGCGGCGTTCCTGGCAGATTCGGAGTCATTCTGGGGAACTTCGAGCTCGCCAAACAGGGTGGCGTGGAAGGCCTCTGTTGACAGAGCCACCGACGGGAGAGGGGGGAAGATCAAGGCGGAGGGGGAGGGTATGCGGAGGGGGCAGGGTGCGGGGGTGGGAGGGGATGGTGGAGGTGAAATTGGAGCTTGGCGGCGAGACATTGATAGTGAAAGGGAGAAGGTGCGTTCAGGCTGGAACAGTCACGCGCCATCGGAACTTCGGAGTGACATTGATATCCACGGTGGAGATAAGGTGTTCGTACTGGGGAACGATTTCTGGGTATCGAAACGTGAAATTTGGAACTGACCAGATGAATAGGGAGAGACTTTTCTGGACTTTTTGGCGCAGGCAACCATCACTAGCGCCGCCGCAAGGAACGCTGCACGAAACACACACACGACGAGAGGCGAAATTAGCGATTGGGTTACCATGCCTGGTTGACAGCTGGCAAGCAATGAGTTTGGATTGAGCTGGAATTGGCGATGCAGTCTCACGCCAGGGTTAACGCTTACCAAAGAGTAGGACGGAACGAGCACGAATGAAGGCCATGCGTTAAAGTGTAGTCAGCTGGAAATCAAAGGAGCAAGTTACTGCTTCTAGTAAATAGGTGAACGGACTGCAAAAACTGAATGGGTTTCTATGGGCTGGGATACCCTCATTTATAGTCACGCTGAGGCTGGGGGATGGAAAGGCCAAGCGGTACGGCTGAAGGTGGAGATCGACGGCCGGGATTATAGATAGATTCCGCGACGGTATGCCAGCCGAACGATGATTCAAGTTCTCACTCGGAGGTGAATCAAGGCGCATCGAACCAACAATAAGACGGGTGAGCGCGTAAGTCGGATTGGCATTGCCATCGAATAAGAAATCGTCATTCTCCCCAACTCCCGTGAAGTTCTGAACTCCAGCCCGTTATTAGCGGCACCTCAATAATAGCAGCTCTAGGCGAGAAAGAGAGGCGAGCTACGATTGGCTAATTCGAGAAAGCTATGATAATGCAGTGTGACGCGTTCATGAGGCGCGGTTGAGCCAACCGTTTTTCAAGCCATGGCGGACAGCAGAGCAGAAAGGGGAGGAAGGGAAGCAGAGGAGGAGAATGAAGCCGTTGAGGTGCAAACCTCCCGCTTCTGCTTCGGGTTGACCGTACCTCCTCTTTTTCGCCAACAGCAGCGGTCCAGTTCGGTTTCCGTTTTTTCACCTGTGTGCTGTGCGATGCAGCGAATGTCGCCGGACCTGTCGAGTTATCGCGTCACTAACTCCGGCCCAATCAGCTTCCGTCAAGGCTTGATGCTGGGAAAGGTTCGGGTTAGGTTATTTTCCAGACCTTGGCCACTATCGCGTATGCGACTGATCGATCAAGCACACAATTACAGTAGTATTTGTCCAAGATTGTGATGACAATTATATATCCGAAATTGTGACGCTGTCTGAGCGAACTTCTGACAGAAGGCGAGGATCACGAGAGCATTGTAACAATTTCGTCAAGCCTGAGGTCAGATCCCTCCGCTCTCCTTTTCCCTTGCAGTGACGACACGTCAAACGTGCAACCGTCGTTCCGGCACCAGCATGTGTTCCCAGGCTCGGGTCGGGTCGGGCGGGTGTGGGAGAGGACATGGCGATTTAGGATTGTGCGGTCGAGCGGCGAGCACGGAAGCTCGTGAAACAGGCGGAGCGGTCGGGCAAAAATACTTGTGCCACCGCATTGCCTGGAAGTTCGGTTTCTGATTCTATGAAACAGAGAACTTGTGCCACCGCAAGCCGGTTGCGGTGTCGCGGGAACTTAGCGAAACAGAGAAGAGCCATTGGGATTCGTGGTTATGAGAGCCGCAGAGTGGCTGAGCGCCAGCAGCGAAAGACCGTAGCATGGTGGGCGTGGAAGGGGTAGCAGGCCCGACCCGTGATCAAGCCTGAGGTCAAATCCCTTTCTCCCTCCTTTCCCCTTCCTTTCCCCGCCACGCCCGCGCCTGCCCGTGTGTTCCCCCTTCGTGTGCGCTGCAGGCGGCATGGCCGCGAATGCACGCAGCTTTGCGCGCTCCTCTTTTCGCACCGTGCCGGCCAGCTGCCAGCGGGGCGCCGTGCTCATGGCCGGGGCTCATTGGCACGCAGCTCATTGGCGGCAGGTGCGCGTGTGACGAGGTGCGCGAGAGGCGCGCATTCCTTCGCCAACGCCATTGGCGGCCCCCGCCACTCGCGGACGGATGCGCGGGAAGCTGCTGCGGAGTGATGCGAGGGGCCTCGCCCCTCCCCGCGCGCACCGCACCCACTCTAGGCTGGCTCAAGGCTTGGATGCAATCGCGCCCAAGTCTGGCTCTCGGTAGGCAATGGCAGCGAAACCCGCCGATGAGCGCCCCGCTGCTACTAGCACCACCCACGCGTGCGTGCTCGCCTCGCCAGCGCGCGTCTGGGAATCGCGCTGCGCTGCCAACCTGCCCGCCGCCATTCGCTCGCGCCAGTAGCGTCCGGGAAACGCGCCTTGTCACGGTGAGTGGGGTGGCATGCGCGCGTGGCAGCAGCGTGAGTGCGAGAGGCAGAGGCGTGGCGGGTGCGGGTAAGGGGCGGCAAGGGGATGTGGCAGTCAACCGCGCTCACACGCACCCACGCATTCCCCTCAATCCCTCCAATCCCCTTCTCCAAAGCCCACTCCCCCCCGCTCATTTCCTTTCCTTCCATTTCGTGTGCATGCGGACATTCATGCAAGCACCCTGTCATTGCTCTCCCCCTTCTTTCCTGCTCCTTTCACCCCCCTTCACCCTTCTCTTCCATTGCCCCTCCTTTCCCCCTCGTGGCCCCCTCTTTTCCTCTGCTTTCCCCCTCCTCCCATTTTGCTTCCCTCTCCTTTTCCCCTCTTTTGCCCTCATTCCCCCCTCCCCCTCCGAACCCCCTCCGATTTTCTTCTTTTGCCTCCGTTCACTCTCCTTTCCTCTCCCCTGCACCCCCTTTCACCCCCTTTTCCCCCCTGCTTCCCCACGCCTGCACCCCACCTGCCCCCCGCGTGCCCCCCGCGTGCCCCCCGCGTGCGGCGTGTGACGGTGGTGCGTGCGGGCGGCGGGGCATGCAGCCACCCGCGGCACCGGCACGCGTAAAGCATGCCTTGACTCGCACAGTGAGTGCGTGCGCGAGAGGGAGTGGACTCGCATCACTCCGTGGCACCATGCCTGCCACACGCACAGCCCTGCCGCATGCCCCACACAAAGCCACGCCATTTCAACCCCTTCCCCTCCGCCCATCCCCCTCCGCCCATCCCCCTCCGCTCATTCCTCTCCGCCCTTCTCCTCGCCGCCCCTCGTCGCCCATTCGCCTCCACGCATTTCCACCAAAAAACGCACGGCCCACCACGTGAGATGCATTTCACGCCTTAAATCCCTTATCGCCCTCCTTTCTCCCCCATTTCCCTCTTCTCTCCCCCTCCTTCCCTTCCCATCCAATTCCCCACCCTCCTTCCTTCCCCCCTCCTTCCCCCTCCTTCCCCCCTCCTTCCCGCTCCTTCCCCCCTCCTTCCCCCCTCCTTCCCCCCTCCTTCCCCCTCCTTCCCCCCTCCTTCCCCCTCCTTCCCCCCTCCTTCCCAAGGTTCAAAAATACGGTTTTCGTAAAAAACGGTCCGTTTTTTACGGTCCGTGTTTTACGTTAATTTTCCAAAAAAACGGCGTTTTTTTGTTAGAGAACTGTTGTCACCAAGAAAAAAAGGGAAAAACAAGGTCGAATACATTTCCAATCATGCCCACAAGCGCACGCATGCGAGGAGGGGTTCGTCCTCTTGATGCTGGTGATTTTCGCCATCAATTTGGTCTCATAAATGGCCGATTATTTCTTCAGACGAAACCACCTTCTGGACCCGTTTTTACCGTTTTTTACGGTCGTTTTTTACGGCCGTTTTTTACGGTAATTTTTCAAAAAAACGACGTTTTTTTTAACCTTGCTCCTTCCCCCTCCTTCCCCCCTCCTTCCCCATTCCTTCCCCCTCCGTCCCCCCTCCATTCCCCCTCCAGTCAACCGCGCTCACACAAACCCACGCATTCCTCCTCACCCCTCCAATCGCCTTTTCTTCTGCCACTTGCATTCCGCTCATTTCCTTTCCATTCATGCAAGCACCCTTGGATTGCTCTTCCCCCCTCCCCTCTCCTCCTCTCCCCCTCCTCTCTCCTTCCGTTCCCCCTTCTTTCCCCCCCCCTTCACTCCCTTTCGTCTCCCCCCTTCCTTCCCTCTCCTTTCCCCCTCCCATCGTTTTCCCCTCCTTTCCCCCTCCTTTCTGTCAGAATTAGCAGTAGAAAGTAAGAATGAAGAAAGGAGGAGGTTCACTAGCAAGCAGTTGGATACATATAGCAAACCCTAATTGGGCTGTACTCACTATAGAGTACCCCACTGCAGGCTAGACAATTATAACATTCTGACACACCCCCATAGCCAAAGTGGGGTGTAATCAGCACAACAAGCAAGCATAGTAATAGTTCACAATTATAAGCAAAGCTAGTGGTAGTCACAGCGGGCAAGTGAGGAGGAGGAGGGACTGTGAGAGGAGAGAAGATGAGAGACGGCGGCTGAAGCTGCAGACACACGGGCAACAGGAGCTGCTGGCACAGTGGCTACCGGGACAGTGCGCCCCGGACTACTGGAGTAACTGGTTCACGGGCTACGAGGAGCTACAGGAGCAACGGACCCTCGGGCGACAGGCGCAGCAGACTCTCTGGGCTACCAGGACAGTGCGCCCCGGACTACAGGTGCTGCGGACGACAAGACAGCAGCCTCCGCTCAACCTCCTCCAACTGTCCCACACACCCCCCACACACCCACTGCTTCACTCCTAACTCCACTTGCACGTCACCCCCCTAGTACCACTCCTTCGGCTCCCACACACCCACCCCCCTCAGCGGCAGCTGCAGCACTGGGAGACGGAGGAGGAGGAGGAGCAGGGGACGACGCACAGAAACTGCACCCCCATACCCCCCACCCCCAAACCCTAATTCAAGAGAACGGGCAGCAGCAGGGGTGGGGCGCCGTCAGAAGCACGGGGGACAGCGGGCAGCGCAGGGGCAGAGAAAACAGGGCGCCCACGGGCCTGGCGCAGCCCGTACGAACCGCGTGCGGGCGGCCCGAGGCGCGCCCTGGCCTGGCGCAGTCCGTACGGGCCGCGCGCGGGCCTGGCGCTGCCCGTACGGGCCGCGCGCGGGCCTGGCGCAGCCCGTACGGGCCGCGCGCGGGCCTGGCGCAGCCCGTACGGGCCGCGCGCAGGCTGTACGGGCCGCGCGCGGGCCCTACGCAGGTCGCGCAGGCCGCGACGGGCGACGGGGGGCGACGCGCGGGTCCCCGTCGCCCGTCGCAGCGCCTCCCGGGAGCGACGCGCGGAGTGACGGGGCAGAAAGCCGCCGCGCGCCTCGGGGCGCACGGCGGGCAGAAAGCCGCCGCGCGCCTCGGGGCGCACGGCGGGCAGAAAACCGCCGCGCGCCTCGGGGCGCACGGCGGGCAGAAAACCGCCGCGCGCCTCGGGGCGCACGGCGGGCAGAAAACCGCCGCACGCTTCGAGCGCGCGGCGGGATGAAAAATCCGTCGCACGCCACGGGGCGTGCAACACACAGAGTAGCAGTAGCAACGGAAGCAGTGAGGTGGTGGGCCCACCCACAGGATCGACCCAAGGGGATCGACCTGCTCTGATAGCATGTCAGAATTAGCAGTAGAAAGTAAGAATGAAGAAAGGAGGAGGTTCACTAGCAAGCAGTTGGATACATATAGCAAACCCTAATTGGGCTGTACTCACTATAGAGTACCCCACTGCAGGCTAGACAATTATAACATTCTGACACTGTCTCCCTCCTTTCCCCCTCCCTCCCCTCCCCCTCCTCTCTCCTTCCTTTCCCCCTCTTTCACGCTCCTTTCACTCCATTTACCCTCTTGTCACCTAGCTTTCTCCCTCTTAACTCCTCCGTGTCCCCTCCTTTCCCTCCTGCACCGTCCTATCCACCTCCCTCCCGACCCCCTCTTTTCCCCTACTTTTCCCCGTCTCCTCCCTTTCTTCCCTCTCCTTTCCCCCTCCCATCCCTTTCCCCTCCTTTCTCCCTCCTTTTCCCCTCCTTTCTCCCTATTTTCCCTCTCCTTCCCCCCTCCATTCCACCTCCACCCACCTTCTCCCTCCTTTCGCCCTTCGTCCAACCACCTTTGCCCTCAGTTCCCCATCTTCCTCCAAACCCCCTCCAGTTCGCCACCCTGTCTCCTGCTTTCCCTTCTCACTTCTTCTTTCCCTCCCTTCCTTCCTTCCCCCTCCCATTTCTCCTTACATTCCCCTTCCCCCTTCTTCCGCCCTCCTTTCTCCCTCCTTCCCTGCTCCTTCTCCCTCCGTCCCCCTTCCTGCCCTGCCCCCCTCCTTACCCTCCTTCCCCCTCATTTACCTTCTCCTCTTCCACTGCCTTTCTCCTCCATTCACACTCATTTTTTCCCCTTCCCCTCCTTTTTCCCTCCCTTTCCCTCTCCTTCTCCCCCCCACCTGCCCCCCGCCTGCCCCCCCCTGCCCCATGTGCCGTATGACGGTGATGCCTGCAGGCGCCAGGGCAGCGGGGCGCCATGCAGGGCAGCGGAGCACCATGCAGGGGAGGGCATGGCGTGGGCTGTAAGGGGCTCTCCACTCGCCCTGCCTCCACACCTGCTGCTCATCCGCCCCTCCTCCCCGCCTGCTGCCGTCCGCCCCCCTCCCTCCTCGCCACGCCCCTCCCCGCGCTGCGCCATCCACTCGCCCACGTCAGCGCCTTGCCGCGCGCTCACCCACTTGGGGCTGCGAGTTGCTGCTGCAGCTGGGGAGACAGCAGCAGCACCACCACTGCATCCCCTCCCACCACGCGCTGCATTACCCAACATGCCACCACCATCATTGCCACATGGGAACATCTCACCTCTCAACCTGTCACAGCCGTTGTGATGCTGGCACCTGAGTGCACATGGCACTGCCATTCCAATCCAATCCTGTGCTTCCCTTATTCACTACTCGTTGCTTGCAACTGGGGTTTCTTCATTCATTCAATCATTGTACCGTATTACCCCGGATAGTAGCGCATATGCGCTTATATTAAAATCGATTTTTTTTAAGGGGTGCGCTTGTAATTGAGTATCGGCCATAAGCGCCGGCGCTTATGTAATGACGAATAAAGAAATACAAATTAAACTCACAAAATTGTACATTTCAGTCTCGTAAGTCCAATCGAATCGAACTTTTACAGCGTCCTGAATCAGAATCGCGCGAGGGCGATTCCCTGACTGTGCACATAGATTTGGCACGTCACTTTGCCCGCGTGCCAGCTCATCCTGACTGGACGCGCAACAAGTGAAGCCTTCGAAAGTCAAAACAAATTGAAATTGGGTGTTGACTCGCTTGAAATTCGAAATTCGTTACCGTTTTAAACAGGATTGTAAAATAAAATTAGGCATGCGCTTATAATAAATCAAGGTTTTACAGGGGGGGCGCTTATAATCGAGTTCCGGCCATAAGCGCATGGCTCCAGATAGAAGCGCCGGTGCCCTTAAACGGACGGCGCTTATATCCGGGGCCATACGGTAATTGCAAGTGGGCACACATTCAGAACAAGGCCTTGATCCTAAATTGTTTCGCTCGACAAGCTCTCTTTCAAGCTGGAGACGGGTTCACTATTTTGCATTTCGGTTTTAAGCCTACAGGTGGCGTCATGTGAGCACCTAGAGCATTGCTGCCTACAGCTACTTGCCACCCATGTGAGCACCTAGAGCATTGTGTCAGATTTATATGACATAGCTACTGTAGGCTATAGTGGGGTAGCACATATGGGGTACAGTTTTCTAGGGTTTACATTTGTACCCAACTTTCCCTTAGTCAACTCATTCCTCGTTTCTTCTCATGGTATCGAGCAGGTTCCCTAGTGGGAACGATTCCTAGGGCCCACCACCACGAAATTTTTTTTTCCTGCCCGGAGCGCGCTTCGCTCCGGCCCGAGTCGCGCCCTGTGTGCTCTCCCTACCGTCGCGCCCTCGCTAGGCCCCTCACGGCCCCGTCGCGTCGCCCTTAGCGGCCCTCTCACGGCTCCCTAGCGCCGCCCTTACGGCTCGTCGCGCCGCCCTTACGGCCCGTCGCGCCGCCCTTACGGCCCGTCGCGCCCGTCGCGCCGCCCTTACGGCCCCTCGTGCCGCCCTTACGGCTCCTAAAGCCGCCCTTACGGCCCAGCGAGCCGCCCCCTAGCGGCCCCTTCGGCCCCTCCCGCCGCCCGTCAGCCCCTTACGGCCCCCTCGCGGCCCCTCGAGCCGCCTTCCGCGGCCTCCTCACGGCCCGTCGCCGCCCTCGGCGGCCTCTCGTGACGCCCTTCACGGCCTCTCCGCAGCCCTTCGCGGCCCCTAGCGGCCGGCAGCCGCCGTCCCTGAGGCAGCAGCCGCCGCCGTCTCTGCAGCAGCAGTCGCCACAGCTTCTGCGACTGCTGCCGCGGTCGTCACCAGCCACACCAGCCGCCGAGCCGCCCAGCAGCCGAGCCGCCGAGCCGCCGAGCCGCCCAGCAGCCGAGCCGCCGAGCCGCCGAGCCGCCGAGCCGCCGAGCCGCCCAGCAGCCGAGCCGCCGAGCCGCCGAGCCGCCCAGCAGCAGACCGCCGAGCCGCCCGGGCTGCCGAGTCGCCGAGCCGCCCGAGCCGCCCGAGCCGCCCAAGCCGACGAGTCGCCCGAGCCGCCCGAGCCGCCGAGCCGCCCGAGCCGCCGAGTCGCCGGGCCGCCGTACTGCCGAGCCGCCGAGCCGCCGAGCCGTCCGAGCCGCCCTGTCCGGTAAGAGCAGCGCCTCTATCACTGCACTGCCCTTACCCTACTGTTCGCGCTGCTAGTCTACTGCTGTCATGGCTACCCCTAGTGTCCTCGCCTTTGACGCTGAGGGTCGGGCCATTGACTTTGACGTCTGGGTAGATGACCTGCAGCTTTTCTTACAGTGCGATAGGGCAGACGGTCTCTCCCTCTTTGACCTCACCTCTGGTGCCTCTCCTGCCCCTGCTGCTGATACCGACGCCACTGTTCGCTCACAGTGGGCCACACGCGATGCTGCTGCACGTCTTGCTGTGCGTCGCCACCTGCCTACCTCTGAGCGTGCGCACTTTAGCCAGTACAAGAGTGCTCACACCTTGTACGACGCTGTAGTTGCGCGCTACTCCTCCCCTGCCACTGCTGCACTGAGCCGCCTCATGCTACCGTACCTCTTCCCTGACCTTGCTGCCTTTCCCACAGTCGCTGACCTCATTACGCACCTCCGCACTAGTGACACTCGCTACCGCGCTGCGCTTCCTGCTGAGTTCTGCGCCAAGAACCCCCCCCCATGTACATCACCCTCTACTACATAGTCACCCGGCTCCCTGACTCCCTTCGCGTAGTCAGGGACCACTTCCTCTCAGTTTGCCCCACCACTCTCACCGTTGACCTCCTCGAGAAGGCCCTCCTAGCAGCAGAGAAGAGCATAGTCGCTGTAGGAGCCTCTCGTGGTGACCCTCGCACCCCCGTCTTTGAGGGGTGTTCCCCCTCCCCCCTTTTGCCCTCTATTGCCTCTGCTGCTGCGGCCGACCTCGTTGGTTTCGAGTCGGTCGGCGCTGCGTCTGCCCCGAGCGGGAGACGCCGCACCGGCAAGGGCAAGGGGGGCAAGGGTGCTGGAGGGGCTGGCGGGGGTGGCGGAGGTGGCGGTGGCGGCAGTGGAGGGGGTGGGGGTGGTGGTGGGAGTGGTGGCGGGGGTGGAGGTGTCGGTGGCGGCAGTGGAGGCGGAGGCGGCGGCGGCGGTGGCGGTGGGAGCGGAGGCGGCGGAGGTGGCGGCGGTGGAGGAGGCGGCGGCGGAGGAGGTGGAGCTGGTCGGGGTGGCGCTGCGCAGAGGGTCGGCTCCGGTGGTGGTCAGCGCCAGCAGCAGCAGCAGCACCGCACTCGTGACATCCCCCCCCCTCAGCAGCTCCGTGAGTGGTACGCTGCACGCCAGCGGGGTGGGGGCACTGGTCCGTGCACCTACGTCCTACGCACCGGCGACCGCGCGAGTGAGCAGTGCGGGGGTGCGCACTCCACCCAGCGCTGCTTTGGCCGCCTGACGGACGCTTGGTGTCACCAGTTCCCTGAGGCCACTGAGATCCCCCGCTGGGGCGAGCTGTCTAGGGCGGGTGTAGCTGTCTTTGACCTTGACTTTGATGCTATTCTTGCTGCCATGTATGCTGTGACTATTAGTGATGAGGGTGACTGTTACCGGTGTTTTCCGCCCGACCCGGGCATTGAGACTGCTGCTCTAGGTACTGGTGAGGCTGCTGCTCTAGGTGCCAGCGAGGGTGCTGCTCTAGGTGCTCGTGCGTCTGCTCCCTCAGGTGCTGGTGAGTCTGCTCTCTCAGTTACTGCGTCGGCTTCGGCCTCCCACACCTTCACCCTTGACTCGGGGGCTTCTCGCTCCTTCTTTCGAGACCGCACCACACTCACGCCGCTTGGCCGGCCAGTTGCAGTCTCTCTGGCAGACCCCTCTGGGGGTCCTGTCGTTGCTCACTTCTCCACTGTCCTCCCGTGTCCGGCGGCCCCCTCTGGCACCCTGTCTGGTCTTTACCTCCCCTCGTTCTCTACGAACTTGGTGAGTGGTGCTGACCTACAGGATGCGGGGGTTCACCAGTTCACTCCTGCGAGTCAGCGGGTGACCCACTGCGCGGACGCTCGGACAGGCCGACACCTGGCCACGTTTACACGTCGGCCGGGGTCGAGCCTGTACACACTGACCACTGCGTCTCCTCCAGTCACTGCGTCTGGTCAGGTAGCTGCGTCGGGCCAGGTGTTTGCTGCAGCGTCCAGGTCTGGTCCTGAGTCTGCCCCCTGTTTGTGTCGCCTCCTGTCGCACGAGACTCTCCTCTGGCACCACCGCCTTGGTCACCCCTCCCTGCTTCGTCTCCGAAGCATGGCCTCCCGTGTCCTTGTCTCTGGTCTTCCCCGGTCCCTCCCTCCCCTTCCTCCGGGGCCTGGCCCTACCTGCGTCCCCTGTGTCGAGGGGCGGCAGCGGGCTGCCCCTCACTCCTCCCAGTTTCCTCCGACAGAGGCCCCGCTGCAGACGCTTCACATGGACGTGTGGGGCCCGGCCCGCGTCCGTGGACAGGGTCACGAGCGCTACTTCCTGCTGGTGGTTGACGACTACTCGCGTTACACCACAGTCTTCCCCTTGCGCACCAAGGGTGATGTCACTGAGGTGTTGATCGACTGGATCCGCGCAGCTCGTCTCCAGCTCAGGCAGAGCTTCGGCTCGGACTTTCCTGTTCTGCGTCTGCACTCTGACAGAGGTGGAGAGTTCTCCTCTGGCCTTCTGCGAGCCTACTGTCGTGCACGAGGCATCCGCCAGACCTTCACGCTTCCGGACTCTCCACAGCAAAATGGGATTGCTGAGCGCCGCATTGGCATGGTCATGGACGTCGCCCGTACGTCCATGATGCATGCGGCTGCCCCCCATTTTCTGTGGCCGTTTGCGGTTCGGTACGCGGCGCATCAGATCAACCTTCACCCCAGGGTCTCCATGCCGGAGACCTCCCCAGCTTTGCTGTGGACGGGGAAGGTTGGCGATGCGTCTGCGTTCCGTGTCTGGGGATCTCGGGCGTTTGTCCGCGACTTGTCTGCGGACAAGCTGTCCCCTCGTGCTGCTCCCTGCGTCTTCCTTGGCTTCCCCCCTGACGCGCCAGGGTGGCAGTTCTACCACCCCACCTCTCGCCGTGTTCTGTCCTCCCAGGACGTCACGTTTGACGAGTCGGTCCCCTACTACCGTCTCTTCCCCTACCGCACTCCGTCCCTCCCCCCGCCTCCGCTCTTCCTTGTGCCAGGTCCCCCCCCGGTAGACCCCCTTCCCCCTCAGGGTCCTGCCCCTTCAGGTGTGTCCCAGGTAGACGCAGTCGAGCCTGTGGAGGTCGCTGGTGACTCTGGTGCTGCTGGGGGTG